AAAGAGAAAGAATATTTTTTTGAATATATCTTTTGAAGACCAAAAATGATATCTTCCTTATTATTACTCAGATATAGTTTAAAGGGTTCTGTTGTGAATCAGACATACCACTATATAAATGAAGGATCACTTCATTACGTCATCAGTCCCTTAACCCCTGTTTATGTTTAGGTATGTACGCACTGCGTGAACGCCGAGTTCATGTCACCCAGGAGGATTTTGAGATGGCAGTTGCCAAGATTATGCAGAAGGACTCCGAGAAGAATATGTCCATCAAGAAGCTCTTCAAGTAGATGAAGTAATTTGTCTCGGTTAAGAATTTGTTCAGATTAATCAAGAATTTTTTTCCAGATAAATTAAAATCTTGGTCAAGTAGATCAAGATCTTGGTTAAATAGATCAAGTACTTCTTCAAATAGATCAAGAACTTGGTCAAATAGATCAAGAACTTGGTCAAATAGATCAAGCACTTGGTCAAATAGATCAAGAACTTGGTCCAATAGATCAAGAGCTTGGTCAAATAGATCAAGAACTTGGTCAAATAGATCAAGAGCTTGGTCAAATAGATCAAGAACTTGGTCAAATAGATCAAGAACTTGGTCATATAGATCAAGATCTTGGTTAAATATATCAAGTACTTCTTCAAATGGATCAATAACATGCTGTTCAAAATAAATGTGAAATTATCAACTATAAAAACATTTGGTAAACCTATTTATATTTTTTAAGGTTTGAAAATGCTAAAAATGATGTGAATTTAACAAAATAAAGTTAAGTTGTAATAGATGTATTTAAAAAAATTATTTGAGATTATTGATTAATATTTACAATGACGAGACGAGGCAGAGAGTCCAGAACTATAATATTCTAAAAGCTTAAAAATTATCATTTTACACATTTCGATAAATGGGGTATTTTTAACTACTTATTCAATGCTGTGAAGACCTTGCCATGTAAAACATTTGTTAAATCTTGGGAGACGAAATTGTATACTCGAACAGAGTTTTAAAGCATTCATTTTCATCTTGATTCTTAGGGGACTAATGATCGATTGGACTAATGTTCAAAAGGACCTAAAGTCCTTATAGTCCTTACGATCAAATACAGGGTTACCCACAAAGGATAAGACTTCAGAGTTCCTTGTAGGCTTAAAGCTGGCTTATTTCTGTGCTTAATCATCTAGTAAACCATAATAATACTCAATTAAATAAAGAAACTAAAATCAAGCTTTAAATCGTCACATTTTCAGTTTTTGGTCGTCTTTACAGTCGCATCCTTTGTGGTTAACTCTGTCTTTGTTCAATTCAACCAATTTTTTTTATTTTTTAGAAATTCATGCCTCCTACCAGTGCAGTGCTTAGGATCCGGATCCGTAAGATTTTGGCTTCCTGGATCCAAATCTGCAAAAATATGCGGATCCAAGGAACTAAATATCAACCAAAAACTGCAAAAAAAGAAGTGAACTCTCAAACCCCAAATCTGAACTATTTAAAAAAGAGAGATTATAAAAATTTCATCAAGTTCTAGCATAAAAATTAGCAAAAAAAATATGACAAAAAATTTGAAAATTCTGCTTTGTTAAAAAAAAATCAGTAAATTTCATGGAAATAACCTGGATCCGGATCCATTTTTTTCCAGTTCGGATCCGCATAAAAATTGAATGGATCCATAGCACTGCCTCCTACCAAGTTTTAAGTATTTTTACGCTAAAATTAGTATAAAATAGTATTAATATTTGAGGGTTAGGTTAGGTTACGACAATTTCTGGGGTCTATGTGTTTAAATGTATTTATTAATTTTAAAAAAATTAAATCAATTGAAAATAATTAATTTTTTAGTTTGTTTATATGTACTAATGTTCAAATGGACTAAAAACCGGGTTGTGAACAGCTGACTTTAGTAACATTGTAAATAAGTCCAATCGGCCTATAGTCCTATCAATATAGCATCAATTCTATTGTTCTCACCCTGTTCCAGTACCCATGACTGAAGATGAAAAGTAACCTTGTAAAGCTCGGGGCTATCTGGGGTTCATCCGCGAATTATTTTTTAGAATTTAAAAAAGTTCTGGTTCTACTCCTACTACTTGGTCTCGATATGGCAAAGATTTTTGAGTAGCAAGTATGAGACCATGGGACATGGAATAAAGTTGTTGCCAAGATTGGAAACCTTGCTTCTTTTCTCAGAACTCAGACTTATTCTTTCGAAGCCGGGGATAGACAGCTATTAACAAAACACAAGTAGAGATGAAACCGTTCGACTTTTTTCATTTCGTTCAATCTTCGTTCGTGAAAACCCCATGCTTGTTAGTTTTTCACAATCGTTAAAAAAATTATTTAGTTTGTTCTCAAAATTATCGTTCATTTTCCATCTAGTTCGTTCGTTCAGTAAAATATTTTGTTTACTAAAATCGTTCATTCGGTAAAAAACTTAAGTTTTTAAAAAACGTTTGTTTATAAAAACTTTGTTCAGTAAAAAACGATAGTTTTTTCCAAATCTTTTCGAAAATTCGTTCGTAGAGTAAAAAAACGATAGTTCTTAAAAATTTGGTTCGTTAAAAAATGATGATTATCTCAAACTACAGGCATGTGGTTTAATAATTCTTATTCCAGATCAGATAGGTTTCAATCAACATGATAAACATTTGGATCTTTACGTGGGAATAATGGAATTAGTCATTTTTATGGGAGTTTTAAACTCGCTGGTCCTTTTGAGGATCGTGGCTTCTGGCTATTTTCAGACTTGTTCATCTTGGACTACCATTGTTTATAGTACAGGGTGTCCCAATAAACATTGGAATTCAGTGACGAATTCGATATCGTCTTTTTAAATAATTCTTTGATTTAGTATAGTGATACCTACTGAGAAAGCTGTAATCTTTTAGAGTTTCGTCTGCTATGTTCACATTTTGCGTGTTTATGTTTTGACTGCATACGGTTGTACTTAGTAAAACAAGAAAATTGCAGTATACAAACAGAGTAAACTTGTCCGTCTTCACTGTTCATCTTGCGGAGACATTACAAAAACATCTTTACAACTTTTACCCTTTTCATAAAATAAACTCTAGAAGACATAATACTATTATGGCTTTTGAAATTAGGTATTACAATGCTAATTCATAACAAAGACGATATCGAATTCGTTACTGAATTCCCATGTTTTTGGGACACCCTGTATAATAGCATCAAAGCTCATCCTTCTCTATGTATATTAATATATCTGTTTATCAAACCTTATTCGCTGGATAGCATATGAATGTATATTAACTACATACTAGTCTTATTTGTATAAAGACTGCAGATAAATCGACACTAGACAGTTAACTTACAGTCCAAGAAAGTCTAAGGTCTGAATTGTCATGATCTGGTTAAATAAAATTTATCCTAAAACTTTTTCAAACTTCTGGTTCATATGTGAAACATAATATGCATTGTCGCCTTGAAAAATTGTACTCCATAGTTTTTGTTAAAATTATCAAACGTTAAATTTAAAACAATGTTTATTTTCTGAACACACACTTTTTTCTAAATACACTGCAATTTTACCATTCAGTTCAGTTCAGCGCAACGGAATTCTGATTGGAAACCCTGCAAATGGGACATTTTTATAGCTGTATTGTGAAAGACTATAATTTTTAAGAAAAGTTGGAAATTTAAAGGTGAAGAGCTCCAGCTCCTACATTCCATGCATTCAACCTCTTTCCCTTCCTTACTTATATTTTAATCTCCTTTCGTTCTCTTCTGATAAATAATGTGGGAGATAATGTCGTTTTTTCTAAAGCAAAAAATGCGAGAATCACTTTTGCAGAGAAATGAAATGACAAATGAAAATAAACCAAAAAACTAATTATTTACTTGATCAGACAAATCTTCAACTCGTTCATGCCCCACTTCCACTTGATGTCATTTGAAATATCGTTTTCTCGGCTGGGCAATGTTCCGTTAACGAACTGAAAGTTCTTGAAAATTAACGGTAAATTCCGTTAATAAACGACAAAACAGTTAATTTTGAAACAAGAAAAATAACCCTTCATGAACACAAATGAACGGAAATTAAAAAGAACGACTGTGCTTAAAAATGTAACGGCGACTGTCTTATTTTTTTGCTCTAAATTACATGAAACTTAAAGAAATTAAATGAAAAACATTTCTAAAACATTTTCTGTTGAAGCCATTTATAAAATTATAATCGGAACAAACAGTAACTTTCAGAAAGAACGGAAAAACGGAAAAATACCGATAACGAACGGATCGTTCAGTTCTAACCTAAAGACGATCTTATACCTGAAAAGTTGGTAACGTTTAGCTATTTTAAACGAAACGACCGACTTGAAAAAAATCACTTTTGGCTCAAATTGTGTGTTTAATTTTTATATTTTTACGCCTTTGTTACATCTTGGGATGTATAATGTCTATATACAATGATAAATAGAAAATAGGAATACAACATTAAAGCAGTATTGAAGTGTATTTGGTGTTGCACAAAGCAGATAGATTTACTTTATTAAATCATTAATTTAGGAAAATGGTTCTGTTTACACTGCAAAATTACCGTGTCATGCTCATTGGATTTTTTAAAGTTAAAACTTGATTCTAAAATTCTTCTTCGTATATCAGAGTTTTTTGGTTATTACTGTATAATGTCACTTAATTTAAAGTACAGTAAGAACCAGCAAACTGTAGAATAGGAAGACGATATCAAAGTTATAATGAAAATGCATTTGATGTTCTTACTAGTTTTACTAGTAAGTTATAAAATCACTTATTAAGTAAAATGGGTCTGTTTACACTGCACA